CCCACGTCAATTAGATATTTTTTTCTTGATTTCAAAGAACACGACTATAGTCTAAACGTACGGTCTTTTATTACCAAGCTAGATGGTAATACTTATACCATAAGGGCAATACCAAGATTAGTGTTTGTATGTTATGAGTGTTTTTTTCTTCTTTTCCTTTCAGCTTAAGCGTTGGGAACCAAAAAAGTGCAAACCAAACAGTCTTCCAATTCTACACAAAATGCATGTCAAGTTTGGAGATACGGTCAAAGTAATTCTGGACGAGACAAGGGTAAAATTGGAGAAGTCACTAAGATCTTTACCCATAACAGCACCATAGTGATCAAATATGTGAACCTCAAGACCAAGCACATGAAGAGCCGAGAAGAGGGAGAACCTGGCCAAATTGTTAAGGTCAGTCCACTCGAATGACTCTCTTTCGTGGATTTGCAAAACAGAAACCATATTTTGTAGCTTCCTTCACTTTGTCTTTGGCGAAATTCGAGTGATGATTGAAGATTGAGTAAAATGTATTACATTTTCCAGATCGAAGCACCGATCCACAGCTCAAATGTGATGATGTATTCGGAAGAGAAGGATGTGGTAAGATATCTGATCAAAAAAGGGGAACTTATCGCCACCATTGAGAAGTGGAATCAACTTGAGGAGGCAAAGGAGAAATCCAAGTTGCAGTTGCCTCAGCATCTTAGTATCTCACTTCTTTCTTCTTCACTGCACTTTTGATTTGTAGACTAATGGACCTATCACCTATGTATAAGCTTAGGATGATCCTTAATCTGGTCATTTATTCAAAAGATAATAATCTTGACAGAGTATTTTACAAAATGAGTGCACTTACAAAGCTATGGAATATGCTTACAAGAATCAAAGCTGTACATGGAACAAACAATCTACAAAATGCTTCATATGGCTAAACCTTAGTGTTCAAGCCTCCGGAAAGCAGCTCAGTTTTGGGATTTGGCACTTTCTTCTGCGTAGTCCGCTTCCACCTCATGTAGAATACAAGTAGATATATGAGAAATCCGGAGAAAACCATCAGATATGCGAATCTGAATATACCTGGGAGCCTATGCTTCATATACACTGAAATTGCATAAGAACAAATGAGAGGCGCGGAGATGGCGATATACCACCAAGTACGTACTCTACCAACTGGTAAGAGTATAAATGTCAAGGCAATAGCCAATAAAAAGGCTGTAGTATTAAGTCCCCATAGTAGTACAATCTCTAGTACGAGTTTTTTGAGATGAAGTTCTTCTTTTTCTTGCGGTTGGGCTGCGGTTTGATAAGTAGCTGTGATAATCAGAGCCGTTATTACTATAAGAGCGTTCCGTGTTCCGTCTGACACGCTACTTCGGTAGCGTGCCATTCCCGTGGAGCAATATTCCTTGAAAGTGACCGGTTTTCTCAAGTAGACCGATGTTTTCTTAACTTTGGATAGAGAAGCCGCGCTCTTTCCACCCACTTTTTGTATAATCTTCTCCGTTTCTATGGTCATATGAGATCCATTGGCTCGCAGCAGGGCCGGTCCTGAGATTTAGGGGGTCCTAAGCCAAAAAAAAGTTCAGAGAGTTTATAGATAGATTTTTAATTTGGAGATCTTTTCGCAAAAAATAATAATTCTGGAGGCCTAATTTTAACATTAAAAAAGTAGAAAATTTTGGGAGCCTAAAGCCCATGCCTCTTTGGCCTGTACTCAGGCCCGGCCCTGGCTCGCAAGGCATCAAGAGCTGTCATATCACTCTTGTTCTGGATGTTCCGGTTCAGTGACATGCATTTCAACAACTGTTATACATGTTTCACCATAACTTTATATATTAGACACTTCTTAACATTAATACCCAAATAAATTATTTTAGGATAAACCATTTAAATAAGGAAAATTAGGTAGTATATTACTCTTCTAACCTATAATTTACTATCTAACATTATATAAAACAAACTATAGTAATTAGTATTGAACTTTCTTAAAATTCTTATTTTACCTTTTTGTAATTATCAAACTTTTTACATTAAAAAAAAAAAACTTAAAACCCTAATCTATATAAATCTTTCCTTTTTTATCAACAATATTTTTTCTTCTCTTTTTTTTTCTTATT